ATGACTGCGCAGGGTGTCTTTAGTGCGTCATCTACTGCTACTGTACTTAAGGACCCGGAGCCCCTCGACGGGGCTGGGGCCGGGCTGGAGCGGGGCTGCCCCCGTTCCCTTCCCCCGCGGGGAGCCCGGGGACACCCAGCGCGGGGCCAGCCTGGGCGCCGCTTTCCCGAGAGCCCAAAGCAAACAGAGATGTTTGCGAGCTGCCCGGGAAAGCAAAGTCCCCGCCGAGGTGGGCTCGACCCTGGGCCGGCGCTGCCACCCGAACAGCCCCGTCCTGGTGTGCCCGGGGAGCCGACGCTGGTCTTGGGGGAAACTTACTGAAACAGGGTTTTGCCGGAATAATCCCCGTTGGCTTTAAATAGAGGTAAAATGTGTTCTTTGTCAAAGTGCCTGCCAGCCTGGCTGCCCCAGGAAGCCGAAATGCGGCTTCCAAGCAGGTTTCAGCAAGGCTTGCACCTGTTTGGAGGAAATGAAAGTAAAGTTATTTTGCTTTGTTTTCCCACCCATGGGGTGAGCTTGGGTCACACTGGTCGCCTTTTGTAGCCAACCAGGAAAACAAGGCTTTTACACGGAGCGGTTTTTTGAAGCCTTCCTGTAACTTGAGGAGCTTAGGATCAGGTCAGCTCCAGTGGCCTGGAGAGGGACCGGAGGTGGTTTCATATGGATCTGTGTCTTTCTGATGGCTCTGGTGTCAGAGCCGGGCAGTGTTGGGCAGTGGGTTTTCCTGTGACAGGAGCTTTGGGAAGAGCTTTTCCCCATGGGTATAGTGGTTCCAGGTAAGTGGAGAGCTTGGGCAGCAGCCTTGCCTCCAGCTTTGGTGTTTCTTCTCAGTTGCCTCATTGTAGGGGGGTTGTAGGAACTTACCTCTGCTTTTCCATCAAGTAATGTGTCTGTGTGTGTCTGGTTCCTCGTATGTTGTCTATTAGCGACCAGTCTGTGTGTGCACCCAGCTCCATGGCTGGGCAGAGGTGGCAGCAGCAGCTCATTTTAGCTTGGAAAGGGGCAGCAGCTCTTGAGGTTCAAAGGCTGATGGGCAGGATCCAGGGAGAGAGGCCCTTTGAGTCTCCAGTGCTGTGCTTGCTGGTGGTTTGGTGGGATCAGAAAAGGTTGCTGTGGTTATTCTCTTTTGTTAAGCATGATGACCAATATTCTCAGAATAATGGCTAGATTTTCCCCAAGGAGAGCTGTGGGCTGTCAAGCAGTAAGATGGTCAGTGATGCCTCCTAATTGAGAAACCATCTCACTGCTTGATAATTCAGACTTGGGGCAGGTTCTGCAAGCCTGCCCTGAGCCTCTTTCTTGCACAGTTTTGCCTGTTGTGTGCATCTGTAATGCCAGTTACTGGCAGTGCAGCAGTCTCTCAGCTCCTTCATCAGAGATCAAGTGTTGTTGTTTGTCTCCATCCTCAAAGGCTGTTGTTTCTTTTCAGTGGTTTAACTGGAATGCTAAGTATGTGTTAGTCTAGTGTATTTATAAAGGTGTACCTGTCATTATGTTTGCAAATAGAGTATGCACAGTAATGAACCTGCAGATGGCTATGCAGTCTCCATACCTTAAGTCTCCATATGGGTATAAATTCTGGTTACACCCTGAGACAGCCTTACATGTCTGTTTCCCTTGGGTAAAGCTTATGTAAACAACTGGAGTTCCTATTTTACCCTTGAAGGTCAGTGATATGGGAGCTGATTTCAGGGAAGCTGATCTTGGAACTCTCCCTGATTCACTTTACAAATGTCAGTTTTCAAAGCACTCACAGCGGTCCCAGGGGAGTGCTGCTTACAGTAGTGCTGCTTATTGGTAATTATTGGCAATTTGGAGACTGTCTGCAGCACTGATCGTTACAGTTTTATAAGGTGACTGTGCATTCTTGCCATTTATTTTTTTTTCCCCTTTCCTGAGGTCATAGTACAAACCCTTGCTGGTGTTATCAGACTAACTAGTGCTGTCAGCCTTTCCCCATTCTCCTGCTGTAGAACCAGTACTGATGAAAGGGTGCTTTTGTCAGGGTACTCTTTCACTTAAAATTCCTCTGTCTGTCATCCAGTCTCTGTGAAGGGCTTGTTACACTGGGTTATGCGTCAGGAAATAAGGGTTACTGGGTTACAAACCCAAGAATAAGCCTTATTCAGGCTCACGAGCAAAAAACTTTCAACAGGTCATTTGAACTCTCTGTAGATTGGTTCCTTGGGTTTGGCATGACATAGTTGTCCTTGCCACCTTTTTCTGTATTTTGAGATCTGAATGGAAGGTTCTTGTGTTTGTCTTAGCATGAGCGTTGTTTCAATTGTTTGCTTTGTTGCAGATTTCCAGGGAGGTTTCAGGAAAGAGTCTTCAGCAAAGCTGAAGCTGTAGTCTTTCATTGCCTTCAAATGTTGCAACACCTTGATCCTACTGCGACCTCAGTGTTAGCAGTGTTCCTTTCATGACAGTACATGGCTCTGCCTAGTTTTGAGTGTAGAATTGATGCCTGCGTGGTAAAGGACCTGCTTCCCTTCTACCTGTGCTGCTCATCAGTACAGTGTGAAAAATTAGTACTTGTGGGCATGATCTGAAACCCTGGAGAAAGACCACATGTGCCCCATTGAGCACAGGGGCTCTATCAGCGTATTTGGCCTGAATAGAAAAGGAGTTGGCAAGCACTGTTTCCACATAGCAAGGCATTTGACACCAGTTGCTGATCTAGAAGTTAGGTGGATATAATAGTTGGAAGCGACTGCAGCTGCTGACACCTGCCTGGTGTTTGGAAATGAACTCTCAGCTATAATGAATGTTGTCCTTGCCAACAGTCTCGATGCTTTTAATTGTTAAAATAGGCAGAGAGTTGCAAAAGGTATTTTCAATGGTGCATGGAATTTACTATCTACAGTTTGAAGAACAACTGTTTCTCCACTCTATGATACAGCTGTCTGTCACCCTAGCAAAGGCAATGAACCTTGCCTCTAGGCATTTACCTCTGAAGGACAAGGACAGCAGATTAGAATATATGAGGAAAGGAGAGTAAATTTCAAATAAGTGATTCTTGTTTGAGGCAACATCCTACATGAAAACAAACAAAACCAACAAAAAAGAGTCCATGTGATATTTCTTTATTTATCTTGTTGTAGTAGATAATGATGATGAAATGGTATCCTTTTTAGAAGACCCTCAATAGATGCACTTCGCATCTTGGAAAGAGATTACTATAGGGGAAGTGATGGAAATGCATGAAGTAATTAACACGATAAAGAACGGTTCTTACAAGAAAAGTCACGGTACATCCTGTGACATTTTTAGGCACTAAATGTAAAGGAAACAAAAGGGAATACTTTTTTCACACAGTGTAGATGAATGTTCTTAATCTGCTGCCAAGGGTGCTGTGGGTGTCCTAATAGTTAGGCGGTGCATAGAGGATGGGTTGCCTGGATCCAGTTTCTGGCCTCGAATACTTGAACCTGTGGTTCCTGGAGGGGACAACCAGAATGATTTTACACATGCCCTATTACTTTTGATCTCCCCTTCTTCAAGCTGCTCAGATCAGAGTACTGCTTAGATCCACAATCTGGTATTCATTTGTTCCCTGTGATTCAGTTGGACTTTTGAATACCAGGCTGTGGAGTTTACTAGGGAAAACGTTTTTGAAGGTTCTTCTCAGGAATTCTGTAATCTCTGATTGTTGATGTGATCCTCTTCCAGTTTTGGATGTTCTCTCTGAAGTACTCACAATCATTACAGATTTTCACCACTGCAGTAGTGGCTGCTCTGAACTGGCTGGCTGTGCAGTAATTGCAGTACACATTTTGCTGTCTCTGGGTAATGAGTTTATTTCCAGAAAGAAAAAATAAATGTTATAATCTGCTGATCCTTTGCTGAAGCATTTTATTTTTATTTAATATCTTCACTAACAAATAAGGAAATTGGAGACATGTCTCAGAGCCAGGGGTTACTAGGATGTGGAGTGCCTGGAAGGTTTTGGAGAAAGCCGTGGGCATCTGGGTAGGGAAATGCAGGAAGAGAGCTGGAAGAGTCATGGGCAGCCTGGGCTAGGAGGAGGCATGAAAATGCTGCCAAGCACATGGACCATGAAAAATACTTGCTGATTTTCTGTATCCTTATTTGCTTCAAAATCCCATTCTTTATAAGCCATCCCCTAGACCTTCAGCCTTCTGAAGGCATCAGATAAATGCAAGAGCAGCAAAGGGGCAAAATTATGAGAGTACTGAGGAAACCGATGAGTCAGGGAGGGCAGGTAGAGATGCTCTTCCCTGAAGTACATACAAGATACATGCTTTGGCATATACATCAGGCTTTTAGGTGAGCCCCTTGTAGTCTTTCCAGTGATGCCTAAATTAAAACCATACTGCTACTCCAAAAAGAATTCTTTCTGTACCACATAAGCACAATTACCATCCCTGTCCATTCATTTCCCTACTGTCCTATTCCTACAGGCTGTCATCTGCATCTTTTTGGCTTCTTTGGCTGAATGCTTTCTTAAGTGGCCAACCCTGGGCCTTCGCATTTTTGCAAATATTGCAGTTTAGAGAGGTACAAGAACCAGTCTTGGAATATAGTATCGAGTCACTGAGGTAGGATGGGAAAGCAAAAATTTTTGTGTGTTTGGAGGCAAGCCTGACATGCCCTTCTGGCCAAACGTGTCTTTCTGGGTTAGTATGTCCTGAATTTATGTTTCTCAATATCACAGAGGAAACCCCAGGTACTGTATGCACCTATCTTTTTCTTTGCCAACTTGCTTCATTTGTGTAGGTTGTCCATCTGCTATCCTCTGTCCAGACCTGGTGAGAGATGGCATTGAGATCCGTCTTCACCAGCCACTAAATGCCTGTTGTTGCCCTGCTGCTTGCTTTTAGAGCTTGAAGGTAGTTCTTTTCAGATACTTTAAGTTCTCGGTGGCTTGATAACCAGTGCAGGAACTCCTGCATGGTCATCACCCTTTGCTTAGTCCCCTGAGGCAAATGATAGACACAAACCACAAAGGAATGAGAAACTGAATCACTTTTTTTGAAGAATATGTAGAAATATACTGTGTTGTGCCTTTGTCTTGGAATGCTGCATGCTGGAAGGAGGACGTGTAGTGCTGGATGAGTGTCTGCCTGTCTGCTCCAGAAAAGCCATGGGAATGGCTACATGGAACTGCACAACTCAACAGCCACCCAGCTCAGGGGATGAGGAAGGCACCAGTACCTCATGTATCTCCTTTCCTCCAGGTATCATGACAAGACCCAGATGAATAGCAGAATTAATTTTTGATCCATTTTTTCATTATGGATGCTAAATTTTGGGCCAACATAAAGCATTTTGTGAGATGCTGTGGTCTGGCACTTCTGTAAACAATGGTTGCTTCTTTTCTGTTTAGGTTATTAAATCCATGTTTGTTTTTAACCTTAATGGAAATACGCCATTTAAAAAGGAATATTGCTATTTTCTCCCTTGAAAATGCCTAAATGAAACACTTCAGTGTTTCAAAAAAATTACTCCTGTGTTCTTTCAGGTTCATTCACAAATGTGATCCTAATTCACATGTATCTTCAGTCCTTCCAGAATTCAGGTTTTCTGTGAGCATCTTTGTTGGGGGCTTGAGGAATGGGTGTGAAGCTGCTGCAGACCTGCAGTGTTCCAGGCACAGGAGTCCCTGGGCAGGAGCACTATCAGTCAGCTGGCCAAGGAGCCACGGCAACTCCTAACTTTCTGGTGTGCACACCCTGTCCCAGAGCAGAGCTTTTTAACTTGGCTCCTGGAAAGGTCAGAGGCAAGGGAAGGGCACTGCAGTGCCTTTGCATAGCAGGGCTTTGCAAATACCTAGTAAGACACACTGGAAATGAGAAGAGCCTGCACCTTTGCCAGAGACCTTTGAGGTAGACTTTATCTGTTTCTCTGCCAGATGTTCAAGGAACAGACAGGGAAGAAGACTTTTGTGACTGTAAAGCACACTGGGGCTATAGTGAATTAGAGGGAGCTCTCAGCAGCTTGTTCAGCCTCTTCCCGGTCTCCTCCTTACAGCAACCTCATGAAGATTTCCGCTGCCTCCCAAAAATGTATAAACAAAAACACCACTGAGAGCCCAGCCCGGGAGGCAGGAGGGATGTGATTACCTAGTTAATAATTGGTCTGAGTGTCTTCAGCTTGTTCTGCTTTCAGTAAGGTCAGCCAGCTAGCATCCCTACCACCGTCTGTCCCCAGCAGTGGCTGCTTCACAGGGCTGCTCTGTGCTCTCTGGGCTGCTCTCAGACTGCAGTGTGAGACAGGTCTTATGTGAACTCCCCGCCTGGATCTGTTCCTGCTTATTGCCTAGAAACTGGAGCAATTCCACTGGCAGGAGTAGATGAAGAAAACAGAGAGTAATCATCTTCTGTAGAAGATGGATGTCATTGCCTGCATCTGCCTCCTCGGAGCTGAGCTACCTGGGAAAGCTGAGCTGCCTCTGCTCTCCAGAGAGGTGCTGGGAACACGGCTTTGCTGTTGGTGGGACGCCCGGCAGCCTGCGAGGAGGAGGCAGAGGCCCAGGCATGTTGTGCTGCAGGGAGGGGGTTGTTGCCCTGCATCTGCCTCCTCGGAGCTGAGCTACCTGGGAAAGCTGAGCTGCCTCTGCTCTCCAGAGAGGTGCTGGGAACACGGCTTTGCTGTTGGTGGGACGCCCGGCAGCCTGCGAGGAGGAGGCAGAGGCCAAGGCATGTTGTGCTGCAGGGCGGGGGTTGTTGCAGGAATGCCACCAGTGCATGAGAAATGAGCCAAGGTCGGGAGGACCAGACCTGCTGGAGGCAGCGATAAGCAGGAGCAAAGCTGGGGGGAGGTTGTGGGGCACTTACGGCTTCCGTTGACTTTCTTTTCTGATCCTTAGGTAGGGATCACAAGTGGGGGGAGCTTCAAGATGTTTTGGTTTAGAACCTGAGCTCACCTATACTGTTTTGATTACAGTTTTATTTAACTCATGTGAGGCTATCAAGTAGGTTCTTGGCTGAGTCAATACTATATAGTGTAAATATCCCTTAAATGCTAGTTTGCTGGTCAATTTAAAATCTTCAGTAATAGGATAAGGCTGACTTCTGCATCATGAAAAGCATAAAATCAATGTGTAACTCTAGTCACGTGTTGCTATAATGATCTGGCACAGCTTTTATTACATGGACTTTGGATGTATTGTTTAGGGGAAATTGTTCAGAAATGCTGCTAATGGAGATGAAGCGAGAAAGTGTTCTGTGCCAGTTAGGCAGCAATACACTGCTTGGTTACTTTTGTGCTGCAGTTTTTTCATTTACTTTTCCTTTTCTTACTTGCTTACATAATACAGACTGTCTATGTTTTAAATTTTAAAGCTGAGATTCTGCAGTATTTCCCAAACATCTGTCAGCTTCTGGGCTGCCATGAATAAGTTTTGGTAACAGGGTAAATGAATATTTATTTTAATCAAGTAGTCTGTTTCTTGGGGTTTACATAATTGCTTTAAAAGTCCCTAAAATCCTAAAAGGTATGTATTAAAGGTAGGTTACCAGGTGGGGACTTTGTACAGGAGCAGAATACCAACATAACTGTACTTCATGTCATGTTATTCTGTATCTTCCTAGTGTGGCTAGACTGTTAATCTGTTAGGTCAATGGTTGTCTATTTGGTACGTCTTTCTCATTTCACCCTAAATTCCTGGCATTCCAAACCATCTGTTTGCTCAGAGTAGCTATTCATTTTTTCTTGGAAATACTTCAATATTTACTCTTTTCCCTTCATAAAAACTCAAAGCAAAAACCGAAAGGAATTTTTTACTCTTGAAATGTTTTGGATCAAAAAAAGAATCAACTATTGACTAGAATAATTTGGATGGTCAGACTTCTTAAAATAAGTATTTTAATGACAATAGGTTTTGTTCATTTTCAGACATAATATAAGTGCTAATAAAAAGATTCTGGACAGCTGTCTGTTTTGGGAAGGACATTCTTTCATACTGGAGGAAACCATGACAAACAGTAAAAGATAAGCAGAATGTGGACTCAGCTAGACTACAGCAATGCCAGAAGATCAAGCAGACTTCAAGAAAGTCAGAATAAGTGAAAGGAGAATTTTATGCTAAGAAGTTGCTGCCTTTCAACCAGGTACAGCCAGTCAGTCTGGTTTTCCCCAGTCTGCTGTCAGCAGCTGTTGTCATGTCAGCAGCCAAAGCTGTGGCTTTTTTCATCCCATCTCCCTTTTTATGTGGTCCTTGAGTCTTTCTTTATTAGCATGTCATGTATTGCCTGTTGCCCCAGTGGCAGCAGCAGGCTTAAATGGAAAGTTTCTCAGTTGTGCCAGGCTGTCTGGTTGAGGATACTAATGCCTAATTTGCAAATTTTAGTTAACTTGTGAATTTTAGGAATCTCTCTTTTATAAACATCACTTTGATTTGGGGTGGGGGGGCTCATAACTGAATTTAGGAAGATTGGAGCTGAAGTGGAGTCTAAACCTAAGTTCTGCTGAAGCGACAGGGCTGCCTAGCTGAGCAAATCCTTGCCCAAACCAAGCACCCAGGAAAGAACAAGAAGGATCTTTGCTTTTCACAGTCTCCCGGCTGCCATATCCTATTCAGCCTTCCCACCCCTTAGGCTCACTGGAGTCCTCCCATTTCCCTGTCCTCCTCTCCCACCAAGGAACCTGGAGCAGCCAGATGCCACAGAACAGGTTTGAAACCAGTCTGCAAATGTTATGCAGGTTGAATTATGAGAGGAGGAGAAGCATTCCTAGCACAGGTTCTTCTCACAGAAGGATGAATTAAAGCCTCTGTATTGACCTCTGGAGTTCACCTCACAGGAAGAAATGTGGCATCTTTTCCTTGTCTATGTCATTGTATGGGTAACCTGGAGAATCAGCATTTTGGGAGTCAGCAAAGTTGCTTTGTCTTCCCGTGTAGTCTTTATCTGATATCCCTACAGGTGTTTTTTCTGTATGTACTAGAATATAGTCTGGAGTCCTTTAGCCAGTTGTACTGAATGTTGCAGTACAGATTGGGTTAAGTTTTAAAACCTCTGTAAGAGCTACAGGTGTTCAGAGTTTGAAACCAGGGAGCCAACTGTGAAGTATTTGATAGGTCTGGAATGTGAAATGCCAAATACTGGGGAAGGCTGCACCAAAGGGGACCTCCAGTCTTGACAGGGAACAGTACAGAAGACAAGCTTGGGTGAGCTGCTTATCAGATCTTAACAGCCCATTAGTGAAAGGAGGGAAAGGTCTCCCAAGGAAGGTGAAAAAAATCACAGTGTGCATTAATTTTATGTATTTTATTTATATTTGCTGTTTGTGAAGTAAGTAAAATTTAATGTATTTTATATTTTTAACATCTGTTCTCTTTACTGTAAAATTACTGTATATTGAAGTCTACTATTTGATTTTTTGTAGCCCTGAAATTCAGGGTGTCTGCTATCCTGATAGAGTTTTGTAGATCCCAATAAAACAGAAGGCCGTGTAACTTTCCAACCTCTTATATAGCTTGCAGTTGATGGCTGCAGTTGATTCAGAGATGCATGGGGAGGGGATAGAGTTCAGGTTTAGAAATCTGGTTTAAATGCTTGTTTTAAAAACCAAACCTCACACTGTTTTTCCAACTAGAAAATAATGACCTGCAAATAGCAAATGCAGTCATTTAGGCTGCTTACTGACGTTTATGGAGATAATTTTGCACAGTCCTGTAGGTTGTTGGGTCTGATGCAGTAAAACAAGCTAATAAAATTAAACTCAGCTCCCAGACTAAAGCTTGTCTCCTACAGATTCTGCATGTGCAGGCAGCCGATGCTCCCACAGGAACTGCGCTCCTCATCCCTACCCACTCAGGCTTGGACCTAAAAATTCCTTCTGGCGTCGCCCCTGGGTCTGGTGATTGTTAGTCACAGTCAGTGCCCTAGAATGGAAGGAAAGGAAGGCAAACACCCTGCTTCAGAGGTATTTTGCTCTAAGCAAGTCATTTGCCTTTGTTTTCCTCTGGAATTAGAACTTTTAAAGATGAGTAAAACATGGCAGGATCATCTACCTCTGTGTGCAGTCTGGCTGCTGAAAACCAACCAAAAATTTCTTAATCAACATCCGTCTTGTCATTAGCACTATAGGAAGGCAAATAAGTTCACACAGCTAAAGAGCAAGGAACAGATGAGCTGTTAGATATGTTTATGCAGTACTTCCAACATTTCCAGGTTTATTGGTGCATCAGAATATTTCCAGAGAGCTGTAATGAGCAGAGCTAGGAGAGGAGAGAGGATTGTGTTGTATCATGTCAGGGTGGCTGGGCAGTGAAGCTGAACTGAATGAAACAGCATCTACAGCAATTGGATGCTTATGTCTTTCAGTAATTATGCCATTTAAGCTCTTGAGAATGTAATATTATATATCTCCTAGAGAGTTCCCCAGATTGAATGGACTTAGAAAAGGAAAAAGAGGGGTAAAAACAGTTTGTTTTTTTTTCCTTAGTATTTGCAACCTCTACATGATTTAGTTACAGGAGCTCTCAGTTTGTCTATAATATGTTTGTAGGCTTGAGGGTAGCCTATTGTGCTGCACATGGTCAAATTAGAAATGGTCTGCAGTAGGGACTCTTATCTTTTTGATAGCTGTATATATTTCTATAACAGTAAAATTGCCTTATGCGTTATCAGTATATTCTGCATATGAAGTTGTGTGGGTTGGGAGACCAAAAAGACAGGATTTTTGAAGCTTCTATGTAAATATTGATGCATTTAAAATAATTAATGGATATTTTCTGATTGCAAAGAATGTTGCCTCTGCTCATGAAAGTGGTGGTGAAATGGAGAGCAGCTTGCTTTCCTGTGGGTGAAGCTTAGCATCCTGAAGTAAACTGATCAGCAGAAGACAGTGGTAATATTCACACTAGTCCCTGGCTTGTTGGTATTTAACCTTTTAGAGGCATAAAGTTGCTCTCCTGGGGATAAATGTATGACTTAGAAACACTCACATTCAAGGTCTATTTGGTCCAAGACCTGAACCCAAACTGAAATACCCTGTTGTTATCTTTCCCTATTAAAGCACTGCAGGCAAATAGTAGTCACCCTGACGATTTCTCAAACAGCACTAACTTGTTACGCTGAACATGCTCTGATTTTTTGCTAGGGATTCATTGACTGATTCTCTGCATTTTCAATCGAGTCTGATCATCCTCTCCTATCTGATTCACCATGTTTTTAGAAATTTGTATATCAAATAGCTGCTACCTTGGCCTGATTGCTTGTAAATGGACCCCTGCTGACCTGCTGCTCCTATCTGCAGAACCTATGCTCTTTTTTTCAAAAGGCACTCATCTGTACAAAGGCTTTGAAGTTAACATGCTGTGCAGCAAGCAAAATAGTCTTTCATCCATCCAGCTCCGTTCAGTGGACCTGTGTATGGACAGTAAGTGCTGTCCCTTCATCTACTGGAAAGGAGTAACCCTGACAGCTGGAGTATTACCATGTCAAAACCCAGCTGGTAATACGAACAGAGAAAGGCAAGAACATGATGCTTTCATCTTCTCTGTAATCAGGCCATGTGTACTGCCAGCAGCATAATTGTTTTTATTTAGCAAGCTCATCTGGAGAGTATTACAGGACTCAACACAAGACAGCTACAAATTCCTTGTAATTTTATCAAGCACATTAGACTAATGATGGCAAGAGCCATATTTCTAGCAGTAGATCCTGCCACAGGCAGATATGCATAAAACAGTCCATCTTTCCCTAAAATGTTCCCACATTTAAAGTATTTCTCACCATAGTCAGAACTCCTCTCTCTGGATTACCCAACAACTATGACTTAACAGTTAGGGAATGATTCTGAATTATGAATGAATGCAATGTTTAAAATCCAGTTGCTTTTTTTGGTTTGGTTTTTTTGGTGCTTTTTTTTTACATAGAAGCTTCTCTGGTGTATTTCTCTGCTTGGACTTCACCAGAGTGTAGAATGATTTTGTCTTTACAGAAATATGCATTTTAATCTTGATAGTAATTGTGAATATTAACTTTACTCCTCACTGGGGAGGTGAAGTAATGTGGAAGTATAGGAACAGCAGTAAGATGGAGTAGAAAACGAGGGAGAGAAGGCTGTAGACTGAGAAGTTACAGGGAAGGATAAGGCTAGGCTAATGGGAATGGGGATATGGCAAGGGACATGCCTGCTCTTCTGTTGGGAGTTTGCAAGGACTGGGAGCTAGTGAGGAAAATGAGGCTTCTCGGCTTCTCCCTGGTCCTCCCAGCATCAGGAGAAGCCTTGTCTCTGTACAGACAAGTGGCAGTGTGTCTGTCATTGTGCACATGGCTCTGACTGCGGTGAAACATCCTGGAAGTCCCTGACCTCCAACCATTGGTACTGGAGAGAAAAGTGGTGGGGATTCCTGCCAGGAACAGTGCACTTCACAGTGTCTTCAGGCATTGGGAGCATCTCTGACCCTGCTAGTTGTTGTTTTTTTCCATTTAGCAGAGGAGATCCTGTTGAGATGGATGTCATCCTCCAACACTTTCCTGCATTCCTAAAGCCATTTCCATGCTGTGGGTAGATGGCTTACTGTGCTGCTTCAAGACTTTGTATGGTCAGTTATTTTACTCTGCTAATGAAAGTATTTGTATAACTGTGAATTGATAGTTTTCTCCCAAAGGCCCACTGGCATTTAAAAGCTGGCACTTCTGTATTTCAGTAACACTGCTAATGCTAAGCGTGAAAAAATAATGGGGCGAACCATGTAAAATTATCACTAGCTTTAAAATTGAGATTTTAGAACAGTGCACATACCATGTTTTATTTAATGTAATATCCTTGGTCACTGTGGTCTGTCCTTTGTCATTGCAGTCATCTGTTTCGTGATCTGGTGTTTTCTTTAGTAAAACGAATCAAGTTCCCTTTCCACAGCAGCTAATTTCTTCTGGCCCTATAAGCCTCGTCTAGGAACATGCTGCTTTCTTTGTGACCTGAAATAGTTTGGGTACCAAGGTTGTTAGTGATCATTATTACTATTGTTTTTAATCTTGTGCCACGCTGCATCCTTGCCCTCTCTAGCCTTGATGAATACAAGTCTTTATTGCTTTCACTAAGGTGTCTCATCTTACTGGAGGAGGGGCTGGAGCCCTCTTCTCACCACTGCAAAGTAGTGATACTCTTCTTCTTCCCCAGGGAGGGGGTGGAATTGGAAGCAAAGCTGCTGTTTGTGCAAGGTGGGGGAGGACAGGTGGAAGAGGATACAAAGGGGATGCTTAGGGGAGAAGTGCCACAGGGAGGGGAGAGTTGCCAGGGGAAAAAAGAGGAGAGGAGAGGGGAGGGATCTCTGCTCCCACACTCAGCCTCCCCAGACCTCACTGACCCCACATCCAAACATCACACCAGGATATGGAAATGCCATAGCTAACACCTCTCAGATTCCCAGTGCCAAGCAGAGGAATGCTCTGCCCTGGCCCCAACTTTAACCATGTTGCTCTGTTTACTCTAGATACACTTTATACTGCTGTTCAGTCGGCAGGGGAAGTTAAGGCTTCAGAAATGGTACACAACACTACCTGAGAAAGAGAAGAAGAAGATCATTCGAGAAATTGTCCAGATTGTTTTGTCTCGCAATCAAAAAACAAGTAGTTTTGTTGACTGGAAAGACCTCAAGCTTGTTTACAAAAGGTGTGAATAATTTTATTAGAACATATACTTGCTATTCATATAAATAACACATGCTAGAAGAGGAAAAATAAAGGCTCACTTTAAGAAAAACAACAAACCAAGCCCCAAGTGCTAGCTGAAGCCAGAAGGAGCTTGCCATGGGCAATCTAGCAGTGTAACAGCACAGTGTCCCTGGATAACTGGCAGAGTAAACAGTGGGGTGAAAAAATGCTTGTACAATCTGTCAGATGAGAAAAAATGAGAGCAACCTAATAAGTATTAGCGATTGAAATTCTGTTAGAAGGCTGCAGGCTTCACTGCTTCTTCTAATTCTCCAGGGTAGCTTGCCCAGAGGCGTGCTGGGCTTTATCAGGCTCTTTGGGAGGTTTCAGGGACGGTTCTGAGGCACTTGCCACGTCTTGTTAGATTTTATTTTTGCAACATTTGTTGCCCTGGAAAGTGTTAATTCCCATTTCCTTTTCCAAACAAATGACCTGTCCCCAGTTACATGATGCTTAGCATTAACTGCCTGTTAACTCTTGTAAAGCTGTAGCACACAGTGTAGCACACTACAAATTAAGCATCATCTCCCGTTTAGCCAAAATTGAGTTCTATATTGTGAAGTGGTGCATGTAAACATCTGACCAGATGCTGTGGCAAGTTAGGCCTCCAACCGCAGCACCACATGGTTGAAGTAGATTGTTACTTTCATCTTGGGCAGATTTAAACATAAAGTTTTGCTGCAAGTTAGTTATGAAGTTTGTTTGGTCTGAGCAGCTTCATGCTTTCTCTCCCTGTGTAAAACACTGTCAGTCATTTGATAGCTAGCAGGCTTGCTGAGATATAAATCCCTCCACTTTTATTTTTATTTTTTAATAAAGAGCAGTAACTCAATATACAGTTTAATTAACCCCATTACTGTAGTTGTATTGCAGGGAGTAAGGGAGACCTTAAAGTGCTACTGATTTATTGTTTATTTTATTAAGACCAGTGTTGGGTGTGTATCCCACTTTGCCAAGGTTAGTGTTTGTTTTTCTAACTAAATAATTTGCTTAAATCTGATCTTTTAAAGTGGGCTCTGGGACACTGCAAGAATGAAAGGCAATTAGAGACCAGATGAACATTAATTGTCAATTGTGTGACTTCTAAGAGGTGAGCAGGGCACTGAGAATCCAGCTGCTCACTCACATTTTTGCCTGTGTTTTCCTAGGTATGCTAGTTTGTATTTCTGTTGTGCAATAGAAGACCAAGATAATGAGCTCCTGACACTGGAGGTGGTTCATCGCTACGTAGAGCTGCTGGACAGATACTTTGGAAACGTAGGTTTCTCTTTCTCTCATGAACTGCATTCCTGGCTGTCTGATAAGCAGTTACCTGAAGCTGTTTTGCTTTGTTTCCATCTGCACTACTTGCCCTGTAGACTCTCTTAATCCAGAGTGAAATTCATTGCTAAAATAATTTATAAATAGTGCTGAAACTATCATAAGATTGTTTTTCCATCCTTTCTCGCCCCTCAAATTTAAACTTGATAGTTTGTGTATCTTTCTTGAAATAGAATTTGAAGGGAAAGCTTGAGGAAAATTACTTAAAATAACACTGGGTGGTAGTACTTTAATTCTCTCTCCTGACCTTTACAGATACTCTGGGGTTTTTTTGCTTCATAATATTCTGTAATAACAAGGAACATCTGAAGAGGAAAAAGATAAAGTTGTGTTTGTTTGGGGTTTTTTTGTTGTTGTTTTTTTTAAGAAAAGACTTGAGGAACATCCAAAGTCTTTCAGTGAGTCTTTAAAGACTACAAGAGACCCATCTTTTCTATTAATATATTTGAAAATGTTCTTACTGCCTTAATTAATCTCTCATTTAAATCACTGTGCCATGACTCATGTTTGTATGGCCTCAAAACAAAAGAGCAGCTGGTGACTGCAAGGTCACTAGGACAGGGGATTTGTCTTGCTCTGTGAAACTGTGCATGAACATATATAACCCATATTACAAGTGCTGTATTAAACCTATTAGAAGGTTAGTAGGCTAGGAAGTCAGCTTTCTTCTCTGAAAACCAGTGTGAATGTAGTATATAAAATACAGAAAGGGGAATGAATATCTTTCCTGTAAGTCTAGGTTATATATATGAAGACACTATGTGCAGAAGCTGCAATATTACCTACTATGCAGCACCTTCTCCCTGCTACCTGCCACAGGAGTGCATGTGTTGAATACATTTGATCATTAGTGCTTACAATGCTGTGAAAGTGATTTCAGTGTGGGTGTCCTTTTCCTCTGGCAGGTATGCGAGCTGGACATTATCTTCAATTTTGAAAAAGCTTATTTTATTCTTGATGAGTTCATAATTGGGGGAGAGGTGCAAGAAACTTCAAAGCGGTCTGCAGTGAAAGCCATAGAAGAGTCTGACATGTTGCAGGAGGTAAGGCAGAGGAAGACAAAAGGCAAACAGCTTGTCTTCCTACATCATCTTTGTTTGGCAGGAGCTTAAAATACAGCTAAGCACTTCCACTACTTAATTACCCAAATGTGTCTTCAGTTTCAGTGAGTACAACAGTGCAGTTAGGGTAGCAGATACATAAACTTTCAGTGGATCCCTCTTGCATCTCCCAGAGTCATCTGGAGACTCTTCATGTGCTGCTGTTATAATCTAGTTTATCTGCTAGAGTTTTTGAGATATTATGTTAAGAAATAGCTTAAGACATATCTCAGATATTTATATAACATAAGAACCTAACCTAAGATTATATTTCATGTGTACATGTGTATATATAAATACAGAAAAACCTAATTTGTTTCACTAAATACATTGGAAACAGACAATTTGCTATTAACACTTAAAACTGAAGAGAGTACGTGCTGGCAAACTCCACCTTCCTTCAAGAACACCTGTGTAGTTTTTCTGCAGGGCACTGGTATGTAACCTTTATTCAGAACCCTGCAGGAATTCTCTTGTGCAACTTGCACCTTTGAGCCAGGAATGGCAAAAGCAGTTGAATGGGATTCATTTTTTCCTAAGGTAGTGAAGGATCCATTATAATCCTGAAGGAAACTGCACATTGGTAGAACTGGCTAGGGACACTGTCTGTGAGTGGAACAGTTTTGCACAGTGGTCTGGCATTTGCACGTGAAACTAAGCCAGCTACGTACAAAGGCCAGTGAGTTTAGCCACAACCATGGTGTGTCAAGATTTGAAGATTAGATTCTAAAACACTGTTAAGTTTCTTAAGCAGAGCACAAGAGAGTTTGTTTGAATATTTCTGTGCTGCTTCGGAATGCATCAGTTGTTTCTTTCTTTCTTCCCCCCCAGACAGTGGAAGAGTACATGAACAAGCCTGCATTTTAATGTTAAAATGACCTGGAGAGAGAACTTCTGTATGCACCTGTAAAATGCACTTCCTGAAACTGCTTCCCAATGTGCCAGATCCTCAGAGAAATACCAAAAACCAATAACTAGAGGGGTTTGTTTGTATGATGGTGACGATGGTCAGCTCATGTAGCACAGGGTTTAACAATTCTGTACTTGGATTACTCTGCATGAGTTTCTCAGAGTTGTTATTACCCTTAATCTAGTTTCTCTTCTTGCTGGACTAAACACTTGTTTTGTACCATGTATTTTATCTACAGGTTTTGTCATCATAAAATGTTATTCTTACAGTACTTTGAAGAGGTATTTTTACTAGTTTTGGTCCACTGCTGACCGTATGACTCTACTTTTGTACAAATGTCCATTATTTTGAATGTAATCATTATTATGCTCTAATAATAATTTGTTTTCTAAAAGCCAAATTATTGTGGGCTCTGATTTCACCAGCTTGTTTTGAAATATTAACCCATCTAGTATAAGAAGAAATGTGCTTTTCTTTGGGCTGCCCCCTTTCTTCCTCCTATTTTCTGCTCTACTCTGCTAATAAGACTGCTTGAACTGCTACTAGAGTGCACTCCACACCTCCATTTAATCTGGACGACTGTTCTGACTTGAGATAGGCTTCTCCCAGGTTTAATGAATCCTTTCTACTGCTGCATGCAGGTGGCCTGTTTCTGTCTTGCTCCTCATTTTCCTATCCCCTGCATACATCTCCTGAAGCTGAACAAAGACTACAGCCTTTGAAAGTGAGCAGCTTGAGAGCTGGAGATACCCTGAAAAGAAGAAATTAGTCTTCAGGATTTTAGGGTGAAGATAATCTCATGTATCTTGTGGTATCCACCAATAACCGTTTTTTCCCAGTAGAGTTTCCCAGTCCCAAACTCATATGCCTGTTGGGATGATCAGCTTTCTAGTAGTTGAATATGGCCCATTTTTGTGAAGGTTAGACAATTTCATCAACTTTTTATAACTTTGCAAGCAGCACAAAGGGAAAAAGGGTCAAACAGCAGAGAGGAGAAGAATCAGCCAGGCTGTGCATATTGTGGTGTGTTATAAGACATTGTAGTGATGTGTGGCTCTCCATTGTGTGGGGAGCCAGGTATGTTAACTTGCCTTTCTGTCAGTGCAGTTTGGACTTCATAGACTGATTTAACTGGCTTCCTTAGATTATTTCCTCCTTTAACAGAATTCAAAGCTCAGAGAAACTCTGTGTATCTTAGCCTGTAACTCATTGCTAGATGTTTTGCCTCTGTCAAATAATGAAATTATCCTTCACAACAATTAGTTATCAGACAAATACATCAGAATGATCCAAACATTGATTTGTATTTCCCTTCAACATACATTTTCTTTGACTTCTGGGATGTACAGTCAGTATTTTCCTTCAGGGATTTTTCTGATCTTTAAATGTCCCACCTGCTTATTTTTTAACTGTTTTTTCCTTCCCAGTCTGTTTGTATCTTCCTGGAAGGGTGGGTTTTGGAGGATGGGGGGAACTTTGACACAACATGACAACTTTACTAATTGTCAGCTCACTTTTCTGCTTGTGTTATCTAGTCTGTTAGTAAAACTGCAACAAGCTGGTTCATAGCTGCTCTTTTTATAATTGCTTTATCCATCTGTTTTCTGTGCGTTGATGTCAAGGCATACTTCTGGTATTGAAAAAAGTGAAATTGCCGAAGGGCTTTTTAATAGCTCTGAAGACATTCAATTTAATAGTAGATTAATGAAATTCTATGAGTTGCATATTATTTTCTCCTGGTTTGAAATGAAGTTTTTTAAAGTGGAGTATTAAATTGATTAAGAAGCCATTTCAGAATGTGCGAAGAGGCTCTTTACTTTGGTAAGTGACTTCTATTCAGTGAAATCATCAATAGTTTCATTTGCTTTTACTCTTTTTTGGACCCATGCTGTGATTCTCTGACTCTTATGACTGTCATGTTGCTTGAATTCTGAAGTATATAAAAATAGGAATTCCAAGAAGAAGGTATGAATAAGAATATGATAAGCCTGTTTTTTCAGTTATTCTGAGAGCTGTAGGATGTCTTTCTCTCCCACTTCAAATGAAGAAGAATTCCTTATAGAAAAAATAATACATTAGCTAGGGGAACCTATGCCAGGCATATCAATATAGCATCTGAAATGAATAACATTCCCTGACTGATGTATCCAGTGTCAGCTTGACAAGTGTGAAGGAATTAGTGTGGTTTCCTTGCCCTAGTGCAAAAAGTCATTGGAAAAAGCTGTGCCTGTTGTGCGAATTGCCTTTGTGTGACAAGGTTGGATGGAAAGTGTGTTTTAAGCACTCTGAAGAACTGCTGAATGATATTTGTGCTCTAAAACATTGACAGATTCCTCTTAATTTTACCTGTAGATGGGCTACACAAAGGAGGTAGGTGAATATTAGTGAATGTGACTTTTGCAAGCATCAGTCTGGATGTCCAGCATACATAAGGACAGACTGGTTTGACTTGACTTTTTACAGCCTTTAGAGAGAAAGGGGTCACTCCCCTAAGTGGTGTTATAATGGCATCAGCTCAACCCAACTCTTTCTCCAAAGGGAGAAAGTCCAAATTAAATGCAGTTATTGCCAAGTTACCTTAAGGTCACTGTCAAAATGCTCATCACTCCACCTGTGTGGAGCTCCATTGCCATCAACAGGCATCGATTAATGCACCGTTGAGTATAGCTCATCAGAAGATTTCTGTCTCTCTTCCTATCTTAGTTCTTTGATTTTTCTTAAAGCAGGAGATACATCTATCTTTGTATATGTTCACAATCTCTCTGAAGCATTGCCCATTTTATTTGTGTTTGCTGTTGATGTTTCTCTTTCTGCCCTGCCAGACTACCCTAGGAAATGCTGAATGTCAAGTCTTCTGAGATTGCTTTATGAATTATTATTTTTTTTTAAGTATTAGAAAGCAGGTTCCTTAACATTTTTCCCAGCCTCACATCTTTTGCAGTTATCTAGACTTTCACCTTGCTGATAAGCTTTAAGCACATATGTCCTAGTTTGCAAAATTGCATTTACTAAAATAACCATTAATCATGGTCATGTTGCTGGCCTAGATTCCCTTCCTTGCTGTCACCAGCTGCACCTAACAAAAAACTTCTCAGTTTTCTTATTAGCATCTCTGCCTGCAGGATTCTTACTGTGATGTCACTGCTTGCCCGTTGTGCCAGGGCTGGTTCTCTGTCACACAACTATTTGCAACTCTTGAGTTGTGATATCTTTGAGCACATCATGGCAATTGAAAAGTGAGAGAAAGACATTAGACTGAGATAAAAATAAGTGTAATAATGTCAAAGGAATATTAAAATTATGACAAATCATAGAATCATAGAACTATTTAGGTTGGAAAAGACCCTTGGGATCACTGAGTCCAACCATCATCCCTACTCTACAAAGTTTTCCCCTAAACCACATCCACAAACACCACATCCAAACAACCATTTATCATCATGAGTGAGAGGTAAGAGTGGCAGGATCTCACAGGATTAATAAAGTCTTGTAATTTCTGTTTCTTTTTTTCATTGTGAATTTCTGAGTGTTGTGGCTCATTAAAAGGCATCAACTCTTACAAATAACTGTAGGAAAATGGACATTTAGCTTATATCCTGTCAGCCTTTGTTTAGCAAAAAGCCACTGTTGGACAGAGTAATGCTGTACTTGTGAAACAATGAATTACTGTAGTTTTTTTTTCATTTATTTTGTAGTCCTTTCAATAGATAAACTATTTTTTATCCTCTGCTTATCTCCGTGTTGTGTTGGAGTGACACAGATTGCAGTAAGGGCACAGGAGGGATTTGTTTATAAGAAAAGATTAGAAGAGTTTAACATGATGAGTGAGGCTTTCAGAGATACCCAGAGACATTCAGGCAACAGTCTGCTCAAAATAACAAGTCTCAATACAGTTCGCAGAGAAAGAAAACTCCAATCCATGCCTGTCCATGACATTCCCCTCCACTGAAAATGCATTTGAAATTATTTCTGCCAGCACAGCCCCTGTGTGAGGGGGATGTTGCTCTCACCCTGCATAGAATGACTAAACCCAGAGATCTCAGTTCTCCACTTAATCCCTGTGGTGGGATTTTCATTATCTTTACCTGATGCCTTTATGAACATGGAGTCTGCATCATCATCCTTCATCATTTCATTTCCTTTTTAGATGGCTGCCAAGAAGCTGTGAGCTCAGACCAGCCAAAAGCATCTTTCTGGGGAACTCGATAACGTTCTTGCTGATTTCAGTAGCGTCTGTTCCTGCGCAAGGTCATACTACAAATAAAACAGCTTTTGATTTCAATGTCTGTTATGATTTGTTTTCATGAAGATGGCTGGTCTAGAGTGAAGTACAGTAGGAAAGTGTAGCATCTACAGCAGAAATAACAGGCTGTGCTGCAAGAAACTTAATGTTTGCTGTCATGGAAACCTGTTGCCTTGGAACATAACTAATGAGACCCAGGCTAAGGGAAAGGAAGAAGCCATTATTGAAATTTTCATTTAGTGAACCCTAAGGAAGACCAGCAATACACCTTATCATAAATTATAGTTATTTCAAGTTCTGTTGTCTGATCCACTTAACCTTGTCTTTTTATTTTACTGTTGTAACCCCATGTTTTCATACAAAGAATGCTATGAAATAGTTCAAAGCGAATCCTTTGGCCGTCTACAAATAAATAGCATTTTATTTGCATTCCCTTTTCCCAGTACCCTACAAAAGTTGTCCAACTTTTGTGGAAAGGACTGAAAACACACATGTGGCTGGTCTGGAATGCCAGGTCCAATAAACCAGGGAGTAGTTAGGAGTTTAGCTGAGGATTTTTACCTTTAGTTGTAGTTGTATGTTTTAAAGACAGTCCAGGTATATAAGGTATGGAATATTTAGGTGTATGTATCCATATGGAAAAATCTGCTTGCCCTTGTGTATCCGTGTGGTAAGATAGTTGCTCTCTACTGCTGATAGGAAAATCTGTGGGGGGAACATCCAGAAGGTATCTTAGAATTTACTTTACCATTCTGTCATCCTTCAAAATTGCCACCGGGAGTTTTCCTCTCTTGTAGAGCTTCCTGCTCCAAAACCAATACTTAGAATTACACACCAGATTCTGCAATGGAGAATAAAGTGCTGATTTTTTTTTTTTCCTGCAAAGGTGTATTTTTTGTCTGTTGTAAAAAAACAATGCTGAATGTAGAATTTCAAGTCACACAGGGTCACAATTTCATTCCAGCTTGTTGCGGATTTCAGCTGCTCTCTGGACCATGATCTTGCATGAATAAATTGTCAGCATCTGTGCAAGTCTCCTTGCCTTGCAGAGATCACGATTCAGGGTCCATCTGGAAGCTAAGAAGGAGAACTCAGCCTTAGCTGATGGAGCCAACAAAAATCACACAGGTACATCTTCACAGAAGTTTCA